TCTTTGTCTTTGCTTTTTATATAAGAAATCGAGTCAAACTATATAAAATTTTGATTGTCTTTTTAATTTTGCAATTTCGTTTGAGTTAAAAGATGTGGGTAATTGATTTAAGGTTTTATAAACAAATAAATTATTATATTGATTGAGTTCCATGATGTTTGAGCTGCCTATCACAATGTAGACACTTTCACTTTCACTCTAAATAATTATTACTAATATTTCTTAAATAAATATGGGTATGAATCAAAATATTCAGATATGAGAAACAGAAAGACGTTGAGGGTTTTCGAGCATATAATAAAGTTGAGAGTAGAGGTTTTCTTATTGCATTAAGATTGGTTCATCTTACCAAATGTCATTAATTAAATAATTGGAATTCATATTTGGTTGAATTTGTCCTGGGCCAAATCCAATGATACAATGATGTTCAATTGTTTCATATGACAAATTTTTCTTATACGCTTTGCAATATGTGTGGATATGATGATTTTCAATGTCACAACTATAATTGCATTGTGATCCTCCTCTAGTTATAGGTTGATTAGTTATAACTTGCTTAATCTTAATATTTTCTTTAAAAATATCTTCCAATTCATTCTTAGGATATTGATATCCTACAGTGATTAAAGGTGCATAGGAGTATTGTGACATCAATTTTTCCTTCAAGTTTATTTCTTCTTGTGAACATTCTAATGAAGTTTTATTGTTTTCAGAAGAAACATGTCATTCTATTTCTTCATCATCATTTTCATTTGTTGTAAACATAAAAACTTCTTTTGAGAAATTATCTTGTTTTTTTTCAGGGATTAATCGAGATAATGTATTGGCGTTAGCATTATTTTTCTCAGGTCTGTATTGAATATTAAAGTTATATTGTTGCAACTCCATTATCCATCGTGTACGTCGTCCTTTTGGTATTTTCGAAGTTCTCAACCATTTAAGGGTAGAGTGATCAGTTACAATGGTAAAAGGTTTAGAGCTAAGATAATGATGAAAATTCCTAATAGCCCAAACTACTGTTAAGCATTCTTGATCTGTAATTGGATAATTTTATTCAGCTTGATTCATGCTTTTACTTGCATATGCAATAACATGTTAATTTTTATTTTTATCGAGTTGAGATAATACTGCTCTAAGTCCTACTCCTGAGGCATCGGTACAGAGTATGAATTCCTTAGAGAAATCAGGATATTGAAGGATTGGTGAGGTAATCAGTTTCTCTTTTAATTTATCAAAGGATTCTTGTTGATCGTTTATCCAAATATAAGGAGCATCCTTCTTTAATAGGATTATTATTGGTTTAATTGATGATTCAGATAAGATCGGCACTAATTTATTATATAAATTTGAGGCAAAAATTTTTCAATTTATTAAGGTAACACAATTATTGCAAAAATATCATTCTATGTCAACGCACAAAAAAATCCAGTAAATCACGTTTTTTTTGTGTAATCTATTGCATGAATACATAAGGAAAATGATACTATTGAAAGAAAATATTTTTTATTGACTAAAAAAATATTTTTATTTGCACGCACGTCAGATTTTGACCTTCTTATACTATAATTAAAATCCTCAATTTACGCTTTTGAAGTAATTTTCATAAATATTATCAGATAATAAGTTTATTTATATGTTTTTAGCATATCTTTTTATTGAAATAACATACGTATTTTTTTTATTATGGTAAAAATGCGTTCAAAATATTTCATATTTATTGTATAAATTTGAAATAATAAATTCATTTATTTTTCTTTGAATCTATAATGTTTTGCAATTTTTAGGCATTTTCTGCTTCTTTCATATTCCTAAGAGTCATAGATTGTTTCCATTTACGTGAAAAAGTTGTAATCCAGTTGGAAATAATTGATTCTTTTGAAATATTATCCAAGTTAATTTTCCCTTCATGTCCATAGCGTAACAATTCATCTCGCATCTCTTTAGCCGACATCTTTTGCCTAGGGTTAGCCGTTCCTATATAAAACATACATTTAAGTAGTTCTTTTACTTCAGGTACAATTCTTTTCACTGATGTTCTGATCTTTTGATTCTCTTTTAGAGCTCATCCTTTATAAAATAATACATGACTGGAAGAATAATTGAGCATGTTGGTAATATATATTTACAGCTTAGAAAATCACATATAAAGAGTGATACCTCTTTGATTTTGAAATAGTATCTGTTGGTATATCGATTGGACAAACAATCTCAACATTCTATTTATTAGTGCTTTATTATCAATCATCTTACAATATCCTATGTCATATGATTGGAATTACTTATTAATTCGTCATTTTTCTTGATTTCAGTATCGTCATCTAACAAATATTGAATCAGTACTACAAGAATTTCTTATCTCAAGATGATATGATTATAGAAACTATACCTTTTTTTTTGGTACTTGACGCTGTCTAAGGTTTATTTGGCTCTGTATGTTGAGTAATTGCTGGGTTTGGCTTGTCAAAAATTTGTTCTTTAGTGATCTTTTGTATTTTACTAGGTGAGAACTTATTCCATGATCCAAATCCAGGAAGAGCTCTTTCATAAATATATCCTGCATCATCAGCTTCATTCGGCCAAGCCCATTCTGACCAATTTGTAATGCCTTGTATAGTACCCAATGTACTTTTGCGATCTATTTATAAATAAAGTATGTAATTTTCCTGAATTTTGATTATTTATTGAATCAAATCAATCACAAATCTTGAGAACGGTTAGGTTGAATATGTGCTACATGAGTGTCTGCAAGATCTTTGATTGTATTCTCAATATTTTCACCAGAAGTAATATCATATCCTAGTTTTACATATCTTTTGATGACGTGAATTATCTTACAAATAAACAAAATAATTTAGTAAATGTAATGCAAATTCTATCAAAAATTTGAAATATCAAAATATTTATTACCTATGCATGATGAGAATCTATTGTTGTTTTCACCTCACCTGCCTCCAAAAATATCCAATTTTTTATGCTAACACCATACCATTCTTTTCAATATGATAAAATAATCATCAATTCAGTATTGTGATAGTGGGGACCGTTATCAGAAATTATGATAACCCATGATGGCTTCTTTTTAAGGATTTCTATTACACTATGTAACGAAGATACAGTAAACCAGGCATCCTGTTTTGTATCATTTGACCAATGGTCAAATGCCTGAATATTTAGATCAGATGTTCCAGAATTTTTAGTATAAATAAGTATCAAATGAAGACTCTAACCGCGTTTACCAAAAAATTCAGATTTTGTTTCCCTTGCACTCTTAGGAAGAATCCTCATTTTGTAATCCACAATTAACAAAGCACCATCTGAATCAAGTTGAAGGAGATTTGAATTTAACTGAGCATTTAAGTATGTTTTTCTGGCATGATGTGACATAAAGGATATTAGTTGTTTTTGATATTCTTTAAGTATTTGATAGTGTATTACATTTAGATTATTTTGTAATTTCTCAAAAAATCCAAATAAACCTTCACAACTTTGGCAGATATTTGGATGATCTTGATCACAATCACCAAATGCATATCGAAGACAATGACTCACACAGGGAATATGAATAGCGCTACCCATATCATCAATTTGTAATTTTTTGGTAAAATCTTTGCGAAGGTATCATTTTAAAATTTGTGATTCATTTACTAATTCTTTCTATTTATTATTATTATAATATTATATATTAGTAAATTCTAAATTAATTTTTTATATAATAAAAGAATAAACAATAGTCTTACCCGAATACCTGGATCCGTAATATACATTTCAATAAGTTTTTCAATTTCAGCAAATACCACATAACCATACTTATTATATGTCATATACAATCCTCCAAGATCTTCTTTATATTGAAAACGCTCTCCTTCTAAATGTGTCATAAATGACGTACGTTTCATACCATCAGGATATTGCTCATGAAATTTTTTCCATAATGACTGTTTACAATCTTGAAGATATAATACAGGTAATCCACTTTCATTATCAGTCTTATATGAGCTCATATTTACGTTGCTTTTATTCGCAAAAAATGATTTAAATTGACTTAACATTTCTTCTTTTAGCTTGACACGATGAATAATTGGTTTTAATAATGGAGATGCACCATAACCATTAACTTGTGTATATTTTCAGGATTCAGAAATGATATGTCTTCTAACCTTTTATATATATAAAGTAATAATTGATTACTGCTTATATAACTAGATAAACAATTACTATTATATTTACATTCAAATTTGTTTCTAACTCTGAGTAAGGAAATTCATCTGCAATGATTGATAAAACCCTACGCTTACCATCACAATTTTGCTTATTGTCATTCAATACGCGTCTAAAAGAATTCCAAAAAATATTGGTTTTATTGGGCATGTGAGTCAAAGTTCTGGTAAGAAAACCTATTTCGCTAAGTTGTTAAAGTGTTGTACAATCTTGTTCAGGTTGGGATGATCTAGACCAAAATTGATACTAATAAAAATTACTTGTCAAATTATTTTGTCAATATTTTATATAAACTTTAGACAACAATATGAATTACTTCTGATTCTTTATTTGACCAAGGAGTTACGTTATGGGTACCAACATCTTAAAGCATAAATTGTCATGCTCTTAATTCTCAATCGCTAAATTGATGATTTTTTGGATATAAAATTTGTAATTGTGAATATAATTCAATAATTGGGCTTTCTTGTTCAAGCCAATCAAGAAAAAACTGGTGCCAATTGAAATTGATTATTATTTTTCGTTTCAAATGGTAATCATAAAGTTGTTTCATAATAGAATAATCATTCCATTTTTTGGAAAAACATGTGGGTAATTTTGCTTTATAATGACGAATAAGAGTTTGGACAAAAGAATGTTCAAGGCCAAAGAGCTGATTTCTGTTGTATTTTTTTATTTCCGATTTTTTCCATACAGCAATTAGCGTTTAACCTTCAAATTTTTTTTTCATTTGATTATCTTGATAAATTTCAAGAATACATTTGTCTTTCTCAATTTTAGATACATAAATTGCTTGTTTGTTGCCATTAAATTTGTATGTGAAAGATGATTTATATCCAGGATCAGCGTTAAGCCAATTTTCTTGAAAAGAAATTCCTACTCCATATACAAATATTTTCAGTGAATCAACAAATATTGAAATTAGAACAAATAAGACATCCCTTAAAAGCTGATAAATAATATCTTCATCTTGCTATTCTAATACTAAGGGACCTGAAAATTGCATTCCATTTTTAAACATTTGTGCATATACTGAAGAAATAGCTTTAGAAGGATCATTTTCTATTTGACTAATATATACATCACTTTGGCATAAATACCTAGGTTGAGAGGTATTGTTTTTATTACCAACAACAATAGTTACAAAAAAATCATGATTATTAAGACAGGTTTTGGTTTTTGACCAACACAAAGGAGAAAGAAAGCAGTGTTTTCTTTGTCTGTTAATGTTTTCCACCAGTAACGAGAGTATGACCCATAGTGAAATGCTTCAACTATATAACTAAGATCAACTAGACTAACTGTAATTGAGCAGTATTTTGGCATGAGTATTAGTTGCGCGCGTCAGATTCAGAAAAGCGATATTCATTATATGCTAATTATCCCCAAAATTTATTATTACGTATATAGTCACATGGTGCCGATCTTATCCAGATCGTCAATTAATAATTTGAGAGAATCCTTTCACAAACTTTCGATAATATGAGAACAATCCAAGGGCTGCTCTTAATTCAGTTAATCCTTTAGGTACTGGAAGTTCTCTGATTTTTCGAATTTTTTCAGGATCTGGTTGCAAACCACTTCTTCCTACGATATGTCCAAAGAATGGGATATTTGAAAGACAATATTGACACTTTTTCAATTTAATCATTAAATTTGCCTTTTTGATTGCTTCAAATACCATTTGCAAATGTTGTAGATGTTTTTTATATGTTTTTGAATAGATGATAATATCATCTAGATATACTGCTACAATCTTATAGAGATATTCTTGTAGAACAAAATTCATTAAATGTTGAAAGGTTCCAGGAGCATTCTTTAATCCAAAAGGTATTCTTTTGAATTTGTACAGACCATATGGGCAGATAAAAGCAGTTTTCTCATGATCACTCTCTTCCATTTTCACTTGCCAATATCCACTAGCAAGATCGAGGGTAGAAAACCAACTTGCATTTCTAAATTTCTCAAGCAAGTCATCAATAAGTGGAAAGGGATAAGCATCTCCTTTGGTTATAGCATTAAGTTTCCTGTAATCAATACAGATGTGTGCATCTCCAGTTTTCTTGAATATGATAACAACTGGGAAAGCTCAAGGGCTTTTTGACTTTTGGATAATATCATTTTCTTCCATTCTTTTGATTTCATCTTGAAGAAATTTTAATTTAGATGGATCCTTTAGTCGGTATGCAGGACCAGCGATTGGTTTATGATCTCCTGTAGGGATTTGATGTTGAAATAATGTTGTATGACCAATTTTTATTTGATTAAGAACACAGATATCTTTATTTTCTTCAATGAATTGCTCAAAAATTTCTTGTTGATTGACATCCAAGAGTCCAACATGTAAGTCCTCTTAGATTTTCCATTTATTATTTTGAGACTTTGGCTGTTCAGTTTGAGCTAAGAATACTGCTGGATTGTCATCCCAAGGGTTGGCAAATAGCTCATTTTCGTCAAAATCAAATAAACTTTCTTCATCAGAAAGGTCTTCTTCACTATTAAAATAAAAGATATCTCGTTCGTCAAGATCTTCATCCTCATATTGATCATTGTAAGTTAGATTTTTAATTACATCGATTAGTTCATCCATAGATATATCAGATTCTTCATCTAATTCAACAGAGGAACTGTCATAAAAAGTAATTGGAATAAAGACAGATTTCATAAGATATCTAAACTTCACTTTTTTTTCATCAAAGTCAAGAATGGCTTTGGTTCTTTTAAACCAATCAGTTTCCAATAGTAAATTTTTGTCAGGAGATTTAATGACTTGTAGAGTTATTGGCATACAGATGGATCCAATAGTCATCTTAACAGTATTAATTTTTCCTAAAGCTCTAGCTCTTTT